ACTAGTGTTCTCTGTGTGAGATATGCTCAGTTAGCAGTGTTCTCTGTGTGAATTATGCTCAGTAAGAAGTGTTCTATTTGTGAGAAGTGCTCAGTAAGTAGTGTTCTCTGTTTGGGTAATGCTCAGTAAGTAGTGTGTCAGTGTAAGTAATGCTTAGTAAGTAGTGTTCTCTGTATGAGTAATACCCAGTAAGAAGTGTTCTCTGTGTGAGTAATGATCAGTTCTTAATGTTCTCTGTGAGAGAAAAGCTCGGTAAGGAGTGTTCTCTGTAAGAATAATGCTCAGTAAGAAGTGAGATAGTGATGCTTAGTCAGAAATGTTCTTTGAGTGAGTAATGCTCAGTTAGTAATGTTCTCAGTGTGAGAAATGCTCAGTAAGTAATGTTATCTTTGAAAGTAATGCTTAGTAAGAAGTGTTCTCTGTGTAAGTAGTGCTCAGTTAGAACTGTTCTCTGAGTGAGTAATGCTCAGTAAGAAGTGTTCCCTGTGTGAGTACTATTCTGTAAGAAGTGTTCTTTGTTTGAGTAATGCTCAGTAAGTAGTGTTTTGTGTGTGAGTGATGCTCAGTTAGAAGTGTTCTCTGTGTGAGTAATGCTCAGTAAGAAGAGTTCTCTTTGTGAGAAATGCTCAGTAAGTAGTGTTCTCTGTGTGAGTAATGCTCAGTAAGAAGTGTTATCTTTATGATTAATGCTCAGTAAGAAGTGTTTTCTGTGTGATTTATGCTCAGTTAGCAGTGTTCTCTGTGTGAGAAACGCTCAGTTAGAAGTGTTCTCTATGTGAGTATTACACAATAAGAAGTGTTCTCAGGGTGCGTAATGCTCAGTAAGAATTTTTCTCTCTGTGAGTATTACACAGTAAGAAGTGTTCCCTGTGTGAGTAATGCTCAGTAAGAAATGTTTTCTGTGTTAGTAATGTTCATGAAGAAGTGTTCTCTGTGTGAGTAATGCTCAGTAAGAAGTGTTCTCTGTGTGAGTAATGCTCAGTAAGAAGTGTTCTCTGTGTGAGTAATGCTCAGTAAGAAGTGTTCTCTGTGTGAGTAATGCTCAGTAAGGAGTGTTTTCTGTATGAGTAATGCTCAGTAAGGAGTGTTTTCTGTATGAGTAATGCTCAGTAAGGAGTGTTCTCTGTGTGAGGGATGCTCAGTTAGTAATGTTCTCTGTGTGAGAAATGCTCAATAAGAAGTGTTTTCTGTGAAGTAGTGCTCACCAAGTAGTGCTCTCTGTTTGAGTAATGATCAGTTAGTCTGTTCTCTGTTTAAAAGACTATACCTGTCGAAAAAATTTCATGTAATGTAATGAAATGCAATTTATAAAAGTGTTTTAGATAGTATGGCTGTGTTAGATTTTTCTGCAATTTATTAAACATTTTTAAACAATACTGCAATACGTACATTTATAACAATATGCGTGTCTAAGTACGTTACTTTAATTTAAACAATATGACTGTCTTAGAACTTTACTGAAAATCATTAAACTGTTATAGACAATATGCGTATTTCTGAATCTTTCGAATCATCCAGAAATAAATAAATTAAATTTACATTAACAGACTAGCTAAAGTTAAAAGCCGATGAATTTCAGAGCAGTGCTAGAACTTATCTCTCGCAGAATATGCATAACATGCAAATGTAACTGTATTTTTGACTAGATTATAATGGGAAGTTTGATACATATCATAAATGAAATAATTCAATTGAGAAATGTTACAACTTTTCTGATTACATAACACAATTTGATTATATTTTTACGCCAAATTATGAAAGGATGCATTTGGCGCGCTTTCGGTAACAGTTTTTGTCGGGATAGATTGATTTACTCATTCCATTGAAAAGCGCACAATTCATGGCTATTCAATGAGATAAATAATTTATAGATGGGTGATGTGTTCATTGTAATGACATAATTGTTTGCTTGATAATTGTACTTTATATGAACAGTATCTTTTAGTATTTGTGTATTGCATCATAATTCTTTAACCAACTATTTACTATTATTCTTCTATTCCGTTTTTCCTTTAAAAATCTAACTTTTCTTTACAAATCATGAGCATGTTCCCAAAAAGAAACAATTTAAACGCATTTTTTGTTCAAATAACATTTCATTAATTTCAGCTCACATTATGATTTTTCTAAGATATTTCAGTTCAGTGGAAAAGAATTCATTTATCACATTCAAATGTCATTAAAGAAATACAACACTTCGTCAGCAGCTGCAATGTGAAAATCGACAGATGCAAAAATTGTTATGTAACAATAGATTCACTGCAGAATGATATGGCTTCTTGATTTAATTACACCGTTGTGAATGGTGTATAGAATGATGAATTCGACGAGCTGAAGAAAATACAGTGCAAAATGCTAATAATTGATATGTTTTCCAGTAATATAACGTGGCATTGTATTTGTTAAAGGAATGATGCAATTAACTCGGCTGCACTTCTAGGGGTTGACTTTAAAAAAGTAATTTAGGCTTAACTATTATTGCTTTTTTATTCTCGTTCCGAAGGTTAGACATAAATTTTACCATTTAAATGCTGAGTTTATTTGAAATAGATTTGCCAGGCTTTATATTTTTGTAAAATAATTTCGAATTTTAAGGGATTTCAACACCAAAATACATATGTGAGCTTACAACAGTAATAAGGAGCGGCATAGCCGAGTGGTTAACGCGTCGGACTAGTACCCTAAGAATCTCTAGGGTCGTGGGCTTAAATCTTGTCACGGGCAAGGCCTTGTTTCACTGAGCAAGAAACTTTTAACTCAGCAGTATTCTATGCCGACAATTATGAAGTGAGTATAATCTATATGCACGGCTGTTGTAAATATTAATTATGCATTTACATTATTTTCATCATCATCATCATCATCATCATCATCATCATCATCATCATCATCATCATCATTTATCATCATCATTCATCATCATCATTCATCATCATCATTCATCATCGTCATCATTCATCATATTCATCATTCATCATCATCATCATCATTATTATTATTATTATTAAATTATCATTATTATCATCATCATTCATCATCATGCATCATCATCATATTCATCATTCATTCATCATCATCATCATCATTATTATTACTATTAAATTATCATTATTATCATTATAATTATAATTATTATTATTATTATTATTATTTTAAATACATTTGTATTTTAAATCAAAGAAAAAGCAATGCAAAGTAATATAAATCTGTTATCAAGATTATAAATTTTATAGAGAAGGATGAAAACCGGTTCAACTGGGCTATTTACAGCTAGTTAAACATATTTTAGCTATTTGAAATAACATTCTTTTACGACATTCAACATAGAGTAATAACGCCACGTATAATTCTGAAGTAACTGATATAAATTGGCGCATTTATGTATGTATCTATCGTCTAGGATCGTAATAAAAACAGCATTTATATATAAATATCGATCCGATTGTCTACAGAGAGTCACCGCTTGTATTTTTTATACAAATATTATCAATAATGATACGCGATCATTGTACGTAAGACGTCGAATTGCATGTGTATGTATTAACATGCTGTTTTTTTTGGGTAAAATAATCATCTCTTGATTATTTTGTACAATGCAGTAGTTTCATCTCCTATCTCAATCAATTGCCACTAATACTCATTAAGTTATTTTCCTTCCTTACGTTTATTTTAAGCTGCTTGGTTTTCAAGGACACGACCTATCTTTATGATCTTAATATAAGCAAAATTTACTATACTCACCAAATGAGTGACTTTCCAGATTTAATTCAATCTGATAATAAAGGGGAAAATGCGCATAATTTACGATTCTCTGTAAAGCACACTGATAATGTACCTATAAGCATTCATACTTCTTGCTATATGTTACGAATGCAATTTTGAATTCATCTAACATTGTTGTTATGACTTTCTGTAATCATGATAAATCCAAAGAATATAAATTATCAAGCTATTATTGCTATATGTAAGGCTATCTTAATCGATATTCAAATATTGCCTTCTAATTAACAAGTCTACACATATAAAAAAAAACAGCATATCTATTATGATGAAGTTAAGAATTAAATTAATTTTACATTTTTTCAAGTTTTCAACTTTACTTTAATCTTTACTCTGCTACTGGAACCGAAAGTGATTAACATTTGCAACCAATTAATATAGAGCCAGGCCAGCCTGCACAACCATGATGTCTGACCAGGTTCAGTACAATTGAATATTCGTATACACAAATTTGATAATGAACCGTTCCAAAAAATGGAAACTAGAAAAATTATTGCAAGAAATTCAGGTTAAGTTGGAGAAAACAAACGCAGTTGAAATCTTCCAATAATTTATGTGTAACATTTTATCCCCCATATGTATTACAATAGCATCTTAGTTATTAAAACATAGGCAGTATTTTTCTTTACTTGCAATTGTATTTGTATAACAGAGACTCAGTTCAAGTTACGTAATCGATTTACAATGATTAAGTATAACAAAATGCATCAAAATGCACGATATTCCGCATTTCGCTCATGTATACAATAATACATGCAAAAACAATACTGTGCTATGGGTCTTCATTTCACGCATCAATTGCTATATGTTAAGTCTTGTTAAACGATAATTTGGATAATTAAACCTTTAGTACAAAGGTATGTCTTCATCAAGACAAGAAGAAAAGTTGTTTTATAGCCTAATTTTTTATTAATTTACATTTAATTACGAAAACATGGTAGAGTTAAACTGCACAGTATGCTGATAAATCTCGCTTAAATTCAGATAATATTAACATTTATGCCTTAAAAACCTGCGATAAAGGTAGATAAAACATTAAGCAAACATTCTGCATTTGTGAAATTATCTTTATACAAAGCGCATGCAGAGAATTTTGAAAAATACACATTTTTGAAAGCACATTTACTAGCTTTTTTGTACACATTCATTGGTAAACGACCTTCCTTGTCTAATGCTCTCTATCACGTTCGCGCGCGTATCTATAAATAACCAAAGCGGTTTAAACCGAAAGTATCAGCTATTCATTCGCGCTTCATAAGAGTAGTGTTTTTGTGCGGCATTTAAATAAAACAGAGGAATTTAAATACTTAAAATGGCGGATACTGCCGTTGAAAGTCCAGTTGTAGCCGAGGAAAATGATAGTGCTAAAACAGAGGAAGTTAAATCTCCTGCAAAAAGGGCGAGCAAAGGAAAAGCAGCAAAAACACCAAAAACAAAGGCTACCCCTAAGGCAAAGGCTGTGAGTGCTAACAAAAAACAGAAGAAAACTGTGTCAGATATGCATCCTAAATACAGTCAAATGATTAACGAATCTATCGCGGCGTTAAAAGAAAGGAATGGATCATCAAGACAGGCAATTCTTAAATATATAATGGCTAATTATAGTGTGCTCCCAGATGAAAAACTAGTGAACAATCACATTAAGATGTCAATCAGAGCTGGAATTAAAAGCGGAAAACTGAAACAAATCAAAGGATCTGGTGCTTGTGGTAAGTTGAAATTATTTCATAGTTTTCATAAAAAAAGTTTTCCTCTGTTAATAATAGATATACGTACTGTAGAGATAGAAATTCAATTAATATTTATAATAATGTAGATTTATATGTCAAACTGCCAAGGAAACGTTGAAAGTTAATAAATATGGTTTACATTTTAGGTTCATACAAACTCGGTGACAAAGGCACTGAAAAGCCGTCCAAACCTAAAGCTGAAAAGGCGGCATCTCCTACAAAGAAGACAAGCTTAACAAAGGTTAAGAAGCCAAAGGCTGCTTCGAAGAAATCAAAAACACCGTCCAAGAAAGCAGCTGGTGGCAAAGCTAGTCCAAAACCTTCACCACAAAAAGCAAAAGCTTCTCCAAAGAAAACGACAAAGAAAACAAAAAGTCCAAAGAAAACAAAAGCGAAAAAAGCTGCTAAATCACCTAAGAAATCCAAGAAAGCGGCTGCACCAGAAGAAAAGAAAGACACTGAGGATGTCCCAGCTACAGAAGCAGCAACGAGTGAAAGTGACCAGTGATCTCCTGAGCGGAAAACTTTAAGTCGTTATCAATAATGATTTAACACTTGGCTGTGTAAAAATAGCTACATGTAATTTTATTTTAGAAAGTTGAGTTTTCAAAAATGTTCTATGACAAGGAGAACTTATGAACAGATGAATATGGCAATGATATGTAATTTATCAATATTAACATTCATGATATTTAGATCTTTTTTCAGTTCAAGTTTTATTATTCCATATTATAGTATTCCATTTTCATTCGAATTAACTTACTTTCTTTAATATTAATTCATGTTCATAACTTGTATTATGTGTATATTGTTTTCCAAAATGTGTTCATATTTTCCCATTATTGTTGATATTGTTTAGAATAAATTTGTAGCTACATGCAATGTAGATAAAACATGAATGTTTTGTTGTTCATACCATTAATTTCATCCTAAATTTTAAAATCCATCACTACTCAAGAACTCATATACATATATACTAGTTAATTAAAACACATTTGCACAAATAAAGGTTACCATTTCAGAAAAATAAGAAAACGGTTCACATTTGTTATGCTGCATAAGTCAGACAATTATCAATACTGTTGATATGAGGTAATGTTTTACCTGTAAAAGCAAAAGGAGATAAGAAGAGAAAAGATAGAAAAAAAAACATAAGAAAATACAAACGCACTTTCACTATGTCATGTGATTACAGTGCGGCCGTTTACCAATTACCCTATTTAAGTCTTCCTTCTATACAGTAGAGCAACAGTTTTTAGCAATAGCAAAGATCGTTATCTTCTACTGGGTTTGTCACTACAAGGGTTGTTACTATACAATAATAATGAACAAAAAACAAAAAGTGTATTTTAATATCGCATAAATTCAAGCATCATGTAATGTTGGTTAATACATGTTGGCAGTGACTGTGATTATGAAAACTAGTGTATTGTTAAGCCAAATTGTATATATATGTATAAAGTACACTGTTAAAATCAGCAGGATGTAGACTCACTGTTTTCCTTTCCGTTGTCATAACGAAATATATTCCTTGAAAAATACTGAGTATTTGACCGTCTAAAAAATGAACAATAATCTACATTTGATCATGGAAATCATTTCAGTACTGAGTCACACATATATTGCTCTATAAAAATAGTCTGTCACATCGAAATGAATATGAAAATTGTCTTGTATGAATTAACAAAACGAGGTTGAATCATAAATAAACCATGTTTTAAACTAAAAAAATCACCATCAAGATCTTTAAGGATTTACACTTAAATGTTTACCTTTCTTGTAAAAGCAAAGTTTGATTTCCTTTGTTTATTATTCGTAGCCGTTGCCGAAGGACTGACTCTTCATTTGAAGATGAACGGGAGAAAGCAAGTGCCATGTTTCAAAAATGTCATAGAATTATAGTCTCGTGATCGTTTCATGATTATTTTACAAAGCCGGATCTACAAGATGTTATATCTTAGTTGCTATGCATGATGCAAATCTTTAAATAAGAAGAATGATAAGAATCAAGAACATTGAATAAAAATAGTACTTATTTTAAAGCGGAATAGAATTCCGATGTATTTCCAACAGATGTATTTCCAACATGTATTTCAAAACGTCACGTTTTTGTCCACTATAAAATTTTAGGTCTGGGGTTTTGACGTGTGAAGTTTTGTTGGAGAATACATGTGTCACCAGTTAACGCCAAGGTCGATAGGTAGCTTGCATTGAGCAAGTATTCATATTGTTATTAAGTACTATGCCGTGTGCAATTTATTGCATGTACCTGAAATTAAAAATCATGAAGCGAATTTATTAGTAAGTAATTTGATTAGATTGTTCTTACATTACAAATATGTGTAGATACGTTGGATTTGTACTGTGCATGGATTTTCTCAATAGTACTGAGCGGTATGTATTTGAAAATATTTCTTTACCACATTATCTAAAAGCTAATCTAAGATAGATAAATCGCTGTATGTCGAAAGTCATATGCCGTTTTTTATCAACTAGGATGTTGACCAAAAGGGTATCTTGAGCTATCCTGTCTTATAACATCGTAAAAAAATACTTGATCTGTAGTAGGTTCTGGACGAACAGTTCTGTAGGAGAGAAAAACGGAATCCCTGGAGAGCGACCAAAACGGCAAAATGTTTAGTGTTGCAGACTCGGTTTGATTGAGGCTCTTCACCACTGGGCAGTGCCGCTGTAACATTAAAATTTGACCCAGTTGAAAAATTGCCCCATGGGTCATTTTACAACGGATTTGGAAACAACCACGCGTGAAAAATGACCCTCGTTGAAAACTGATCAGTAGGCCATTCTTAAACATTTATAAATTCAAATTATAGTGCAAAACATGCCTATATATACGGTCATACATGTACACATAAACAGTAATATTTCTGTATTCCTTTCAGATTTTTAAGTGATGAAAATCTTTTAATTTTATTCAAGTGGACCAGGAGTTAATAACAATTTGCCAATTAATCGGCAATAACTAACTGATAATGTACAACTATGGTACTTATATGTAGTGAATTGTAATATTACATTTCACGCAGAATAATCTTTAGTGTTGTAGTTTTAGCATTGTACCTTGTTTAAGTTTGATTTAATGATTGCCTTTGTGTGCGAATTCAAACTTCATTTGTTGTCTTTGTTTATTACTATTAATTTGTTGGGGTAGATTTGTATCAGTCTGTGTATATTAAGTATGGTAACCCTGTGAAAGGTTTCCTTCATAAATTCTGGACAAGAGGCCTGCAATTGTTGAGTTTCTGAAAATCGATCATCGGTTATCATCATAAATATTCCAGGAATCAGTCTGTTTGATTCTGGTATGGTGACTTGGTCAACACTTGTCATAAATATAGAAGGCGTATTTCTTATAAATACCTGTGCAGGAGTTTAACTTTAAGCTTTACGTTATTTTTGGGTTTAATAATGGAAATATTCAGCGACTTGTAAGAGAAACACTATCAATTTAAGAAGATATATAGATAAGAAATTTAGAAATAATATGTATATCGATGTATAAACGATGTTAGAGAACAGTGATAACTGTTATTTGTGTATTTCATCAAATGATGGACTTAAATCGTAATTATGAGAAAGAATCTTAGCTTCAGTAAATACGGCGGTTTAGTTATCGTAACAATATTTATGTTTTCCGCTATCAAAGGGAGTCGCCTGCTAATACTTCTACTGTCATTAATGTTTAAAAGATATCACACTTAAAGAATGAATATTAACTGAAGGATTTCAACAGCCGAATTATATCTAAGTCTTTTGTACCGCGCGTTTGTATTACTGTCATTCCATTGATCGGTGAGTAGATACGATTAGATAGGTGTAGCAGACGCAAAATATTTACTGATATTTACTGGTATAAGAAACCGTTGACTTTATAAATGTATCTAGGGTTAAATGGAAAGTTTTTGTTACCTATGGTCTATATTGCGGGAATGTAAAACTATCGGTTTCAAAGCGCGGGAAGATATGAATTCATTATGGACATAGATCGATTAATTTATACACACCATATGGACTATAAAGTCATTATTGGCGTCCGCGCCGAAGCGAGGCGCCCCTTTATGGAATGAAATCAGATTTTGTGAAAGGGCGACAGCAACTTCTCGAGCCTTTTAGTTGGTCATAATAAAAGCCGATCATTCCGATCGGTATGAGGGTGCTTGATTATTATTAATAAAAAATGAAATGTCGCGATATGTACAATGAATAGCGAACTGGAGGATTTCGCAATGCAAACATTTTCAAATGCAATAACCTTTTCCGTCTCTTCGGTTTTTTTATTTATCATTTTGTAGTACACAGTGGGTTATCATGGTATGTTAAAATAGAATGATGAGTTGATGACCTAAATATTCCGAAAATCTATTTATAGAGGGATGTACTCCTATCGGTAATTCCGGTCTCTCCCTGTCTATTTTGACCGGGATACTAGTGACCACACGTTTATTGTCCGGTCTCTCCCGGTTTTGGAGTAGATGTTTGATATCGTTACAGAACAGAACAAATATTTTACAGATAAATAAGCTTTTTTCCAAAATGAATGTTTGTCACTTAGTTTGGTTACAATAATTAATAAACATAGATCAACTCTCAAATTTATTGATTATTATTATACATAAACATACAATTCGGAAAAAAAAACCAACAACAACAACAACAATAGCATGTTTAATTTTATCTATATGAGGTAAAAACAATAAATATGTACAATAATTGTGAAAAAAGGTACATTTTTTATGATTTTAATATGACACTATCAACTTTGAAATATTTTATTTAATTTGTTATTCGTGTTTAGTAAAGATGCCGAGGAATTATTCAAAGTTACAAATTAGATTTTATTAATTATTTAATTGATTGATAATTTAAAAAATGACATGTACATGGTTTAAGAATAAACAATATTATATATTGAAAGATTAACCATAATTTACTGACTATTTCCAGTTAAGTTTTGACTTATAATCGTCGGTCAATATGACAATTGAATTCTTAAAATTTATTTTACAATTTTAATAAAAAAGAGTAGTAAACGTAAAAAACTCAGTATTAAAATAGCACATAAAAACACAAAAAAGAGAGGAAAACAATATTCATAAAACCTGTATACTGTTTACAATTATTGTATAATAAACAATAATGCTCAACATGACATGGTATAACCAGTGTCATATTTTTACTAAGTGTGAACAGATACCTTAAGAGGGGGTCTTCGCTAATAGCGATTACATAATAAGGGGCAATTCCACAAGTGTGGTGTTGATCATGCGTTACACATATGGATTATAAATGATTGTATACATGTATATCCGTTGCTATTAATAATCACGATCATCAAGAAATAACAAGTAATATTCTAATCTCTAGCATGCCAATCAAAGTTCATAATGAACAATGTCTTCCGTCCGTTCATTCTGGTTAAAACCAATTAACCATTGAAAAGTTTATAAGAATATCTTGACATCATATGTCTACTAGTTCATCTTCACTTTCTGCATTTCTTGCTAAAAAAATGGACGCCCTTTGATGCTTTGCATCAATGCTTTTCTTGTAAACATAATGTTAAGAGAATATTTCTTAAAACCATGGCTATCTATATGTATTTTAATGAATTTAAACAGTTGATTAATTAAATTAGTTCGTAAAGTGACAAAGAAAACTTAGTTTGAAAAGATTCTTCCTCTGTGGAAATCTCGATGGGCATGTCGGATTTCGTCTACATATACCAATCTGTTGGAAATAATTGTCTTAAACTTTCATAAAAACAAGTTCCCTCTCCAACATAATAATTATCTTGCCTTTCTCGCCGAAGTAGTTCGCGTTGTGAATCATTTTTATGACGGCTCTGAGAGATTCTGTTTCTTCTAAGTGTTTCCCTTCTACCAACGTTTAACTAAAATTTAACTAAACGTTAAAAATGACCCTAATTTGATCAAAATTTAAGGATTGGTAATTTCTCAATGACCTTTTGATCAAAATTTTATGTTGAATTGTTGGTAGGGTTAATTCTGAACGTTGAAAAATGATCCATTGGGTCAAGTCAATTTTCAACGGGGTCAAAATTTAATGTTACACCACAATTTATTTATCCTAGTACACCTTTTTTAATAAGCAGTTTTGATAAGGAAGTAAGAGATCTTTTAAGCCCTAAAATGCCCTTTTTTAATTTCCTCAAAAACTTTTTATTTATTTTGTCCTTTTACAGTTTATATATAAATGTATCATTAGCCATTGTATTAATTGAATTAAATTTTGTTTCTTCTATTTTGTCAATTTTGAATACAAGTGTCCTTTAAGGTATATAACTGACCTCTGTTGTCAATTTTAAAGTTTCTTACAGTGCCCATTAGGGGGTTCATACCTTAAGAAGCATCCACAGATGTGTACATACGGCGGTAATCATGGCGCCTTCTATGTTACACAGTAGTGCCATTCCATGAGAAGCGGCGTATGCTCCCCAAGTAAAAGAAGGTGTGTGCCCTAAACGAGAATATAAACAATGGGCGGAACTAAGTAAAATAGAATTTTGAAAGTGGATCTGAGGTTATGAAGCCTGCATATCACAGACAAGACGTCAAAAGACAAATTTAAAAAAACAGTCAACATATCCTAAAGGTGATTATACAGTATTCAAGTAGGAATACTGGAACCACCCAAATTGAAAAAAGGCGAAATAGAAGAAACTAAAAATATCACAAACATGTATACACAACAATTATGTCATCCTGAACGATCTTCGAGGATCGAAAATATAACATCTTTGATTAAATGTACGGGGCGACTTTTACAGCCGCCACATGTCACAAATTTAACACTGATGTGACAATAAAATAGAAAAAAACAGAACCTAAAGAAAGCCCAACAATACAAAATTGAAAATGTTGCAGGCTCAGTTTGACGATACTGAAAAGTGCCAGTTACCTTCAACGCCCTCTAACATCATCTTAAGCAAAATTCAACATTTGAACACAAAAGTGGTAAAATCTTGAATTTAGAAATTGAAAAATTTACAAAAACGTAATTGAAGTTGTTCAAGAATTTGTACATTTCTATAACCCAAACCCGCAACCATGTAATAAAATAGGTATAACTATATTAAACTGTATTAAATAAATGTAACTGATCAGATTTTGGGGAATGCAACTTTCTAGCTTTTTTAATAACAGAAAACAAAGCCTGATCCAGATTTTGGGGTATGCAACTTTCTAGCTTTTTTTATAACAGAAAACAAAGCCTGATCAACAAGTTTTTTTCTTAGCTTTATCAACTTCACCATTGACATTAAATAGTACACATAAGTATGTTAAACCATCTAAAGTTTTCAAGTTTTTACCATTGTAAGTAAAGTTAAGATTCAGATGTTCAGACTTACGTGAACTGAAAACAACTGTTTTCGTCTTATCTTTTTTTCACATTCAGATCCCATTACTTACAATAATCATACATGGCATTAGGACCATTTTGTAGATAGCTAATAAAATGGTATCATCAGCATGCAGTAAGGTAAACACCAACAGTATTGTCAGACAATTAACAGTTGCTCTAGATAGCGTAGTCAGCCTTTCCATTTTGAACAAATCATTTTATTATATAAATACAATATCGGTGACAAATTTTCACCTTCACGGACATCGGTATGACTACTAAAACTGTGACAATTTATTATTAACTTTAACACATGACTTTGTTTTATCATACATATAATAGATAATCTTACTTTCCGACAGAAATGATGATATTTTGAATGATGAAATCAAAGAATGTTAAACATCGTCAATAGTTTACTATAACCACGGCTTTAATTCAAGTACTAAACAACCGTAGTTCGATGGGTGTCAAGTTTACAAATTATTATCAAATATCACAAATTTGATAATTTTCAGCTGTCAAGACATGCTTTTTAAGGTTCGATACATTGTGTTTATTAAATTTTATTGTAGTTTTTCTAGATGACTTCGTGTATAGGCTAATTTGGCTATAACTGTTAAAAATAAACTATATCTTATAGTTTTATATACATAACTCTGTGAAAAAGAAGAAGAATTTATCTAAGTTATTTAAATCTTATCTAAGTATGCTTACTAGCGCTAATCTTTAATGTGTCCTGTTTTCCAAAACTTTGATGTTAAGGCATAAGATATCGATGTGACTGTCTTACGCCAGTGAAAACATAACACCCTTCCAAAGTTATTCTTACTTTTGTTTTAGTTAAAACATTTCAAATATAAAGTCTTAAACATTAAGATACTTCAAAATGCTTTAAAAGGACCAACATACAGCTTCTTATTGCCCTCCATTTGTATTTTTAGGAACAAATTCTTGTTGTAATACAGCTCTTCTTTAAATATTTGTTATTTCAACAATCTCATTAAAATCATATCCTTACTGTCGCTTCACTACCCTACGCTTGAAGCGAAGAGTTACGGTCGGATTTTAATGAGATTGTTTTTTTATTATATTCTTTTTGATGCTTAAAAGGTTGAAGACATTGAAATTTATTTGGATTGGATAAACACTAGTTGATTGCTTTAGAAGCGGCAAGGATAATTGTTTTTTCTCAGTATTAAGCACATATTTGCCTGCCTTTCTCTTAAAAATAATGAATATAAACTCAGGCCTATCAGTTGTTAGAAAAGAGACGTATTGTTATTGTCTTGTTTAATTTTTTTGTTTTATAAAACTTTCGACCTTTTTCGATCAAGAATATTAATAGTGAAATGTTAAAATTTTGCAGCAAACAATATTGAGGCTGGACAGACTTAATGAGTGTTTTAGTAAGTTTGGTTCTATGCCCATCTCAGTGTTAGAATATTTGTCTGGTTTCCCTGTATTATTGATACTAATACGATTATTTTCTGTGTTGAGGATTGAACGCCGCTAAAGCTGGTTCTACCGATGTGCTCTTTTAAATAATCTTTTAAGCGTAGGCGTAATAAAACAGAGTATGCGATTCTTAACTATCGTTTAGTACTTCTCGCTCTCAGACAACAGCAGGCCCTTCACATATTTTAAAACTATTTTTGGTTTACAATTAAACTATATTAACGCGTTTTTATGCAATCCTAGTAATTCTCGTATTGGTTAATGGTTATACGTCTGTTATATGAAACTCATATTAATTATCAGATGATTCGGTTGAAATAACTCGGAATAAGTTTAACACTTGGCCGGAGTCTATGTGTACGTGATTAGGGTATGAAACAAAACATGTAAGCAAGCATCTTTTGACACTGTGAGTTTTTTGTCACTCTCGGACAAGTCTTCTGTCGTAAAACATAAACTACTGTACATCTCCAATTTTATTGTTCACAAACATTTTCAGACATTATAAAATACAATTAAATTAACACAATACGACAAAACTGTTTCCTGCAATGCAGATAAATACTAGTGTTTATATAACTTATAATGTATAAATCTGAAAATATGGCCCTTCTCTTGTACTCTATGCTATATATTCAATATCAAGGTCAGTAAATATACGTGAATTAAAAGTTTGAACTTGCTCATCATTTAATATTTCCATACCACGGATAGTGCAGATCATGATCCCACGGCGCGGACAAATCTTGATCTACACTGGTTGCATGGGTGGAAAATGCACGAATTAATTTACCCATATGCAGACCGATTCGGATTCTAATGAAAATATAATATAAATAAGCACAATTAAACACATATCTTATCGAATAGAATATAATATTTTTATTATCTCATGTGATGAAAATATATTTAGTCTTCATCGGGAGACTGTTCATTATGAATTATTTTCATTTCATGTTCATTTTGTATCAGTTTCCTAGTTTTTGAAAAATATAATATAGCAGCTCCGAGGACCATTCCAGGGATTAAAGCACCGAACGCAACAGCTGCCATGGAACCTGTAAATTAATGCATACAATTTTAAAATTTCTAATGAATAATGCCAAACCAAACATAAATATTGCCATCAAGAGTGTCGGTTTTTATCAATGATTTACTAAGAGTATCATAACAATATCTAAATCATTGACAATAGAAAATAATAGAAAACTCCTTCTAGCGAAGAATACGCAAACAAAATGATACACTTATGCCATCTGACATCCTCCCGACTTCATTATAATCTTTTAAAAGAAGATCCTAATCATGTACTGTAAAAGTATTTGCAATATTATCCTGAAAAGCAGCGAAGTTTTGTTATGTTCCATACATACTTATGCTAGAAAATCCATATACTCCGTAATTAACTCTGATAGAATTGTTGCACTGAGAGAAAATCCTATTTCCTTTTAAGTATAGATAAAAAAGTTCACAGTACCTGAACTATATCCATTCTTTATTTGTGCTGTTGCAACACTTGATGATGGCCCGACGTATGATAAATGCCCTGTAATAAAGAACGATATATATTGTATAACCGACATTTTACGAATATAGGAAGTAATATATAGTGAGTTTAGTTCATTTTGTGAGTCCTTATAGTTGTGTGAAAAGAGACCAGCTTATTGAAAGCAATGCACAATGAGCAATGTTAATCACACAAGAAGTATTCTCTGTGTGAGTACTGCTCAGTAAGTTGTGTTTTCTGTATGAGTAATGCTCAGTTAGGGGTGTTTTCTCTGTGTGATAAATGATCAGTAAGAAGTGTCCTCTGTATGAGAAAAGTTCAGTTAGAAGTGTTCCCTGTGTGAGAAATGCCCAGTTAGTAGTGTTCTATTTGTGAGTAGTGTTCAGTAAGTAGTGTTCTCTGTGTGAGTACTGCTCAGAAAGTTGTGTTCTCTGTGTGAGTAATGCTCAGTTAGGAGTGTTCTCTGTGTGAGTACTGCTCAGTTTGTAGTGTTCTCTGTGTGAGTACTGCTCAGTTTGTAGTGTTCTCTGTGTGAGTACTTTCTCTGTGTGAGTACTGCTCAGTTTGTAGTGTTCTCTGTCTGAGTACTGCTCAGTAAGTAGTGTTCTCTGTGTGAGTACTGCACAGTTTGTATGGTTCTCTGTGTGAGTACTGCTCAGTTTGTATGGTTCTCTGTGTGAGTAATGCTCAGTAAGTAGTGTTCTCTGTGTGAGTAATGCTCAGTTTGTAGTGTTCTCTGTGTGAGTAATGCTCTGTAAGTAGTGTTCTCTGTGTGAGTACTGCTCAGTTTGTAGTGTTCTCTGTGTGAGTAATGCTCAGTATGTAGTGTTCTCTGTGTGAGTACTGCTCAGTTTGTAGTGTTCTCTGTGTGAGTACTGCTCAGTTTGTATGGTTGTCTGTGTGAGTACTGCTCAGTTTGTAGTGTTCTCTGTGTGAGTAAAGCTCAGTAAGTAGTGTTCTCTGTGTGAGTACTGCTCAGTTTGTATGGTTCTCTGTGTGAGTAATGCTCAGTTATTAGTTTTCTTAGTGTAAGTAATGCACAGTAAGTAGTGTTCTCTGTGTGAGTACTGCTGAGTTTGTAGTGATCTCTGTGTGAATAATGCTCAGTAAGTAGTGTTCTCTGTGTGAGTACTGCTCAGTTTGTAGTGTTCTCTGTGTGAGTACTGCTCAGTTTGTATGGTTCTCTGTGTGAGTAATGCTCAGTAAATAGTGTTCTCTGTGTAAGTAATGCTCTGTAAGTAGTGTTCTCTGTGTGAGTAATGCTCAGTTTGTAGTGTTCTCTGTGTGAGTACTGCTCAGTTTGTATGGTTCTCTGTGTGAGTAATGCTAAGTAAGAAGTGTTCTCTGTGTGAGAACTGCTCAGTTTGTAGTGTTCTCTGTGTGAGTAATGCTTATTAAGTAATGTTCCCTGTGTGAGAAATGCTCAGTAAGTAGTGTTCTCTGTGTGAGTAATGCTCAGTAAGTAGTGTTCTCTGTGTGAGTACTGCTCAGTTTGTATGGTTCTCTGTGTGAGTAATGCTCAGTTTGTAGTGTACTCTGTGTGAGTAATGCTCAGTAAGTAGTGTTCTCTGTGTGAGTAATGCTCAGTTTGTATGTTTCTCTGTGTGAGTAATGCTCAGTTTGTAGTGTTCTCTGTGTGAGTAATGCTCAGTTAGTAGTGTTCTCTGTGTGAGTAATGCTCAGTTTGTATGGTTCTCTGTGTGAGTACTGCTCAGTTTGTATGTTTCTCTGTGTGAGTAATGCTCAGTAAGTAGTGTTCTCTGTGTGAGTAATGATCAGTAAGTAGTGTTCTCTGTGTGAGTATTGCTCAGTTTGTAGTGTTCTCTGTGTAAGTAATGCTCAGTTAGTAGTTTTTTTAGTGTAAGTAATGCACAGTAAGAAGTGTTCTCCGTGTGTGAAGTGCTCAGTAAGTAGTGTTCTCAGAGTGAGTACTGCTCAGTTAGAAGTGTTTTAATCTTTGAGCACTGTGTGTAGTATGCAATGTGTTTGTAGTGCTCAATTTGTAATGTGCTACTAGTGAGAAGAGCTAAGTATGAAATGTTCTGATTCAGGTTAACTTTCAAAGTTACTATATTTATTATCTTATTAAAAATGGACAACAAATTGTTATGTAACTGAATGTTGACCCTTTTTTCAGCTGTCAAAGCTGAAAAGTCAAGCATTTTCAAACGTTTTGTAAAAAAACGAAACAAGTAAGACTTTTGCCAAGCAATTGAATTCCCAACCGAAAAGGCTTTCTTTTTAGATGAAATTAGGTGAAAAATAATATATCTGTTTCTAGTATTCTTATCATATGACTTAGGAGAAATGTGCGAACAGGGATTTTTAGCTCACCTGTCACAAAGTGACAGGGTGAGCTTTTGTGATCACTTTTCGTCCGGCGTCCGTCCGTCCGTCCGTCGTCCGTCCGTCGTCCGTAAACTTTTTCTTTAAATGACATCTCCTCATAAACCGCTGAGCCAATTTCATCCAAACTTAACAGGAATGTTCCTTTGGTGGTCACCTTTAAAAATTGTTCAAAGAATTAAATTCCGTGCAGAACTCTGGTTTCCATGGCAACCGATAGAAAAAACTTAAAATATCTTCTTTTAAAAAACCCAAAGAGGTAGAGCTTAGATATTTGGCATGAAACATCTTTTAGTGAGTGTCTATCAAGTTTGATCAAATAAAAGCCCTGGGGTCAAAATTGGCCCCACCCCAGAGGGTCATTGATTTTCCCTATATGCATATAGTAAAAACTTAATAAAATCTTCTTTTAAAGAACCCATAGAGCTAGAGCTTAGATATTTAGCATGAAACATTTTCTGATGGGTGTCTACCAAGTTTGTTCAAATAAATGCCCTGGGGTCAAAATTGGCCCCGCCCCGGGGGTCATTGATTTCTCTTATATGTGTATAGCAAAAACTTAAAAAATCTTCTTTGAAAAAAAACAAATAGCTAGAGTTTAGATACTAATCATGAAACATCTTCTAGTGAGTCTCTACCAAGTTTGTTAAAAAAAGCCCTGGGGTCAAACTTGGCCCCGCCCCGGGGGACATTCATTTTCCTTATTTGTGTATAACAAAAACTTAAAAAATCTTCTTTGAAGAAACTCAAATAGCTAGAGTTTAGATATTAAGCACGAAGCATCTTCTAGTGAGTGTCTACAAAGTTTGTTCAAATAAAAGCCCTGGGGTCAAAATTGGGCCCGCCCCGGGGTAAATTGATTTTCCTTATATGTGTATAGCAAAAACTTAAAAATTCTTTGAAAAAACCCGAATAGCTAGAGTTTAGATATTAAGCAGGAAACATTTTCTAGTAAGTGTCTACAAAGATTGTTCAAATAAAAGCCTTGGGGTCAAAATTGGCCCCGCCCCAGGTGTGTCACTGTTTTTAACTAAATGTGTAAAGAAATAACTTGACCAGCTAGACCTTAGATGTTTAGCATGAAACATCTTCTAATGGGTGTCTACCAAGTTTGTTCAAATAAAAGCCCTGTGGATTAAACTGGCCCCGCTTCAGGGGCCTATATACAGGTGAGCGACTTCAGGGCCATCATGGCCCTCTTGTTTTTGTGGTTGTAGTACAGATAACCGTTTTTCTGGCCAAAAAAGAAACTGGTTACAAGTCGGTAAAATATTTCATATATATAAATATATATAAATGAAGGAGAATGGCCATTAAAATGTTCCAGGTATGCACCTTTTCTGAACAAATAAAATAAATGTTTATAAATTTGCAACCATTGAATTTGTATGAATTATAACCACTGAATCACGTGCCAAAAGATTGATGTTTTATGAGGATATTTTCTATATATATTATACTCACTCGTGTAAGTATCGCACACGGCGTTCGATGATATCTGAGATTGCACGTTTCTATTATTTACAGAAAATATATTGCAAGTACTATGTCCACAAAACATGAATGATCTACAAGTCAATCCGTAGTCATCTACGCAAAGTTTAGCACAGTCATCTACGCTTGTATTTGAAAAAGAAACAACAGGTCCATAGGGCAAATGTTTGTCTGGTGATATTGTAAAATCAAACAAATATTTTCCTGAAAAAAAGAGAATAGTACCGGTATGTGCGTTATAAGAAATTTATGATTCCAAATTACAAAAAGGACAAATGAAAAAAATTAAACATAAAAATGTATACACTAATGGAAGTCTGCATTAACTGTCTGATATTGTTTTTAACTTTTCATTAGAAGGAATCAGAGAGTAACGCTATTTACCAGAGATATAAAATGTAACTTTCTTATAACGGTAAACTAAAACTAATACATTGTGTTTTTTTTGTTCCCACGAAAGTATCTGAATACCAAATTGAAAGTAAATGTTACTATCAAAGGTGGCGAATGTTTGATAATTTCGCTAAAATACTGAAAATTGGCAAGTGAAGATTTTGTTAGTAACAGTTTCATGTGCGTTGAATAAAATTAAACATATTTGCTAGAATTATCTCGAAATATGACCATTAGAATATGAATTGAATAATAATAATAATAATAAAACCACGTGAAATTGTAGTTAAGGATACGCTTAAAACCCTTTAATGTTAAACACATCCACCTACGACAAACCCTACTCTACAATATATATGGATACTCACTTGAATAGTGTAAGCAAGAAGAATCTGCAGTAGATGAAGACACAGATGTTGTTGTCTTCCGATCACGTGACAAATAACAGGATTTTGTACTTTCACAGAAGTCAAATGATCTACACGTATTGTTTCCACTTTTGTAACACTTTTGAGCGCATGTATCCGGGTTTCCAACATTTGATTGTTTCACGACGTTTCCAAGATTTGAGATCGTGCCCTGTGAGAGGATGTATCTGTCTAAATATTTCCCTGTAATGTAATGTATCGGTCTAATTATTTCCCTGTTATGAACTGTAATGTATCAGTATAAATATGTCTCTGTTATGTTTAAAGCAATAGATTAGTACACGTCCACGCAGAGTAAACTGCTTTAATCAATATACATGTCTAAGTACTTTCCTGAAATGTATTGAACAGTTTAAAACAATTACATATCTGGAATGAAATGAACAGTTTACAACAATTACATGTCTAAATACTTTCCTGGAATACAATGAAACAACTTAAAACAGTTATATGTCTAAATAGATTCATGGAATGTACTGAAGAGTTAAAAACACTATACCTGTCTAAATTATTTCCTGTGATTTAATTAAATGCAATTATAAAAGTGTTTAAGACAATATGCCTGTCTTATTTTTTACTAAATATTAAATTTTTTTTAAATGGAATATCTTAATTCTTTGCTGCAATAAGTAGGCGTATATATAATCTTTATGCACGGCTGTTGCAAATATTAATTATCTTATTACATTATTTTCACCACCATCATCAATATTATTATTGTTATATGTTATTAGTTTAAATATTTAAATAAAAAAACATCAATTGCATAATAATATAGATATGTGACAGATAAAAATATCTCGTGCTATGAAAAATGAAAACCTGATCAATTGGCAGGGCTCGACACTAACTTTTTTAGCAGGTGGTAAGCCGGACCACTAGATTTGAAATTAAGGTGTTCCTTCCAGAAGTCAGGTGGTCAATTTTTATTATTATGTTATTTTACTGCAAATTTAGAAACGTATATGCTTTGATGACAAAGATGTATTATTAAATTTCAATAAAACAGATACTTAAGATATATATTTTATCTAATCAGAAATTAAGGAGAGCAAGTTAGTAGGATTCTTTCGTGAAGTTATTTGGTTTTTTTTTTTATATCATTAAAAAATAAACAACAGGACTCATAGTAATGTTAATTTTTATATTGAAATGATTTCTCCCTCAACTCAAGGGAATAGTGAAACCATTTGTGTCTGTTATTTTCTTACTATTATTCAAATGTACATTGCTGATACGTGATACGTCTTATAATCATGATAATTACATGTATCTTTTATAGATTAACGTTTTTAATAAAACTAATAAATTATCTTATTCTCGTCTTTGTAAACAAGAAAATGTCTAAAGGATAAAAAATAATAATTATATAATATAAATATATAGTTAAGCTAATTTTTCTCACTAATTTATTATGAATACAGAATATTTACCTCCCTGTTGCTTGTTGGTTGATATCTATTGTTGACATTGAGTATTTTTAACCTTTTAAAGTAATTTTTACTCTGGAAGAAATGGATCTCTTATCGTTAAACATTTAAACAAAGGATTACTACATGTATGTTTTCAGTTCCTTTCGTTTGCTGCCATTATTCAAGTCAAAAATATGAAATTTTAAATTTATCCGATATCCCATACAATATCATAATTACCATCGTCGGATACCCACGGTTGATTAAAATGCAACATTACATAAATGTCAATGGTTCCGCCGTAGGTATCCGACGATGCATAATTACTAGCATCATTTGAATGAATTTTGTACCAAAATTAATATCACAAATTCTTAACTTGTTTAACTTGCATAAACAAAATATTAGCGACTTAAAATAAAAGTTATTGATGACTTGAGAACGTCTTTATCTTATCAGAGAGTAATGTATTTTGTATTTTTTTATGAACCATAAAAATGTACATCGGACAAATGATTTTATACAAAATGTATATAACATGTTTTTGACCAAATCGCCATTCTCCCAAATGAGCCTTGCAACAACCAGAAAATTCAAGTGGTCCGACGGACCAGTGGCTTTTAAAATTAGATGGTCCTTGACAAAACAGGTGGTCTCGGACTAACAGACCACCGCTAATGTCGAGGCCTGATTGGGCTATTTACAGCTAGTCCAACATCTTTTACTATTTGTAATAACATAATTTTACGACATGCAACAAGAGTGGTGATGCTGCGTATTTTCTCCTGAGAATAAATAAAACTACCATTCGTGTCTAATTTTCATTTTATCTCCGAAGTAACTGATATAAATTGGCGCATTTATTTATGTATATATCGTCTAGGATCGTAATAAAAACAGCATTTATATATAAATATCGATCCGATTGTCTACAGAGCCTCACCGCCTGTAATTCTTATACAATAACATCAATGATGCTACGCGATCATTGTACGTAAGACGTCGACTTTTATATTCATTAACATGGTTATTTTTGTAATAGATTTGTGATTATTATGAGCAATCCAGTAGTTTAATTGTCTATCTCAATCAATTGCTACTACAGTAAAACTTGTCAAGTCTAGTTATTTCTTGTTTTGTTTTCAAGGACACGAGCTATCTTTATGATCAACACATATTAACGATATGAACAATATTCATCAAATGAGTGACTTTCAATTGATAATTAAGGGGAAAATAAACATGTAAAGCACATTAATAATGTACATATAAACACTCATACTTCCTGTTATTTTTAAGAACGCAATTTCAAATTCTCAGTTATAGAGAACGTATCATCTAAACATTATTGTTATGACTTTCTGTAATGATAAATCCTATGAATATTTCAAACTATTATAATTGCTTTTTGTAAAGCTATCTTAATTGATAATCAAAATTCC